GGTGTATGTAATATTTCCCTCCATCTACCATTCCACTGCTGCAGCCCGCAGTCCTGGTTTTTCCCTGTCTCTGTGGCTTGGAGGATAGAGGGCAGGAAGAAGTAATGTGATTAACGTGAAGGATTAAATGCTGCTCTTTTGAAGGCATAGGTCACAAGAGTAAATACATTTTGGTTTATTTTGTCCTTATTGAAGAGCGAGAACACATTTTTACTTCTGCCATGATCTCAGATTTGGAGCTAACTCACCTCTTGCATCTTTCAAGTAACTGTGTTCTGAACATTAAATTTCAGCTTTTCATCAGATTGGTATAGCATAGATAGGTGAGAAACAATGTGATAAAATCTGAAACAGTTAACTGGGAAAAGGACTGAGACTGTAATGTGTAGGACATTGTTTTGTATTGATATTTAACAAATGTAATACTGTAAGTTGTACTATTAAAGACTCTTGCCTAGCATACGAAGCCTGAGTTTTCATTTTCTAGGATTTTGAACAACTGCAAATCTACATTGTTGTTAGATATTTGAGCCTGGGGTAGACTGGCAGAAAATAAAGGAGAATGGCTAGAAACTCTTGCGTAATTTTCCATGAGAAACTGGAACTGATACAGTAAAGTGTTGATTTATGGCCTTTTCAACTTCTGATCTCATTAAATCAGAGTCAAATCATGCTGTAAACACCTACTCTCTCAGAACAAAAGCATGTTACATAAAAAGTGTAGGAAAAACACCTCTAAAACTTATTAAAAAAGGAGGAGAGCTTCTCAGCTCTCAAACAAAATCTGGCCCGATAACCTAATAAAATTGTAGAGAATGACAGCTTTCAACTTGTATAAAATGATACCTTCTTTGTGGTTGCTTGGATACTAAAATGTCAGTTTCTTCTGAATACTGAAAGTGGTCTGCTCTGCTCATTCTGCCATTTCTCTCAATTTCTTCTACAAGTAAATGTATGGCATAGAATTCCCTTAAAAGTGCAGTGTACTTTGTTTTTCTGTGTGGTGAGTTCTGATTACATTAATGCAGTGAGAGATAGTGAAGCTTCTGCTGAAGTGTGCTTGGGTCGCTTTATGGTTAAGCAGTTAGACCCGCTCTGTGGATCTGTGAATGTTCATTTCAAGTCTTCTTTTTAGTCTGTTAGTGGTGTACATAATAAACAGATTTTCAGAGAGTGGAGAATGAATTTAGAGTCTGCATTTGGTTCACTTTTGTTACATAGGTTGATGTCCGTAGAGCGTATTTATATTCGTCCTGCAGAGAACAGATCACTGCTTCCTTGTTCTGTAGTGAGCCTTCACCTGCTTCACCTCTGCTTTCACCTCTGGAGTGGACATTGGTCTGCATGTCATGTAATACTAGTAATGGAACTTAGATTTTACAAAGCTTATTTGAGCTGTAAATCTAAAAGCACTTGATGGTAGATGAGACCTTCCTGTTCTTCAAATGAGAAGACAGGTACAAGAGGGACTTCAGTGATTTGCTGAAGCTTGTACTGCAAATTAGTGATAATAGAAAAGGAATCTGCTGTCAACAGGGCTGTGCTATGATGGTAATGCAGTGCTGTCTCTTTGGATTTGTTGAGTTTTATGGACCGTCTTTTGTGATGTGAAAAACAACTTTTTATGATTAACCTGTAATTTGTGAAAGGTAGCTATTTGCTTTCTTGTGGTTCAAAGTCTACTAGTGATCCTTAGCTGGGCACACTTAAGGTTACAGTTTTAACTGTAGTTGTCTTAGTTTTAGCTGGGATAGAGTTAATTTTCTTCCTAGTAGCTGGTATAATGCTGTGTTTTGGATTTAGGATGAGAAAAATGTTGATAACACACGTTTTAGTTGTTGCTACGTAGTGCTTTCACTGAATCAAGGACTTTTCAGCTTCTCATGGTCTACTGACTGAGAAGGCTGGAGATACACAAGAAGCTGGGAGGGGGCACAGCCAGGACAGCTGACCCAGGCTGGCCAAAGGGCTATTCCATATCATATGGCGTCATGCTCGGTATATAAACTGGGGGAAACCTGGCTGGGGGGGCCGCTGCTCGGGGACAGGCTGGACATCGGTCGGTTAGTGGTGAGCAATTGGTTTTCCTTTGCATCACTTGTCTTTCTTGGGGTTTTATTTCTCTCTTTTGGTTATTTTCCTTTCCATGACAATCCTGATTCTCTCCCCCATCCCAGCGGGGGGTGGTGAGCGAGTGGCTGTGTGGGGCTTAGTTGCCCGCTGGGGTTAAACCACAACAGTAGTGCATTTGGTTTGGGCTTGCACTGTTGAGGGCCCTTTTTAGTTCTGTGTTTAAATATTTGATGTATTAAATGGCTCCTTCACTGTCCTTGTAGTCCTTTTGTTAAACTATGCTAAAATGTGATGTTTTTCTCTAGATGCCTTCTGAAAAAAAAAATTTAAGCATTGAATCTGAAACAAATTGTTAGGAAAACAAAATTACCTTTTGATCTTGCTATTGAAGGGATTTAATTTGTTAGCTAATCCTTCCAAGACAGCAGTAACCATATGCAATTGTTTTAATATGAATAATTGCAGTATGAATAATATGCAATTATTTTAATACGCTAATGCAAATATGTAAACAAATCCTTTTATTTTTTCAGGTTAATATCTCTAAAAGTTCTTAACAGTATTGTACTTCTGGGGAAATCATGTCAATATGTAAAGGAGGCTAAAATGGAGGAGAAATTATTTAATCCTGTCCCGACTGCCACACCAGGGAAGCCAGCTGGCAAACAGCAAAGCATGTTTAAATCTACCCAAGGTAAGGCTAACTGCCTTGTTTTGTTTACAACTGTAAGGAAAATTGCTTTCAGATTAACTTTAATATTAAACCAGATGTATGACATTGCTGCACAGTAACCCTGTTGCTGGACCTTAATTGTACTATATCACAGCTGTGAACACAAGTCTGTAAATGTAATAGAATTTATTGCTTTTAGGTCATGCATCTTCTTTCGGTTGTAAATGCTCATCTCTCTGATAAGATCCCACCCTGATATGTGGAGGTGATAAAACATCAGAACAGTAGCACACTTCTGTTTGAAAATCATAGTCATGCAATGGTTTGGGTTGGAAGGGACCTTTAGCGATTATCTAGTCCAAACCCCTCTGCCATGTCACTACACGAATAAGCAAATATTTACACATCATCTCTGGCAGTGCTGAAGTTTAATAAGGAAGCAATCTATGCATTTCTTATGGAAATTAATGTAAAACATGGCACACAATAGATACAATTACTTATAATTGTCATGAGCACATGAATGAAAAGCTTTATGGAATCCAAATAGGAATTTCACCTGGTCTCTACTTGCTTCATTTCAAGTCTGTGCAGTGTGGTTTTCTCGTATGTGTCCTCAGCATTAGCGGCTAATATATAATTGGAATGGGGCATTATTATATGCCTGTGAGACGTCGTAGAAGGAAATAAACCATCGTTGTTCCAGTCAGCTGAATTGAATTGTATATCTTCCTCTGTGAAGAGCTCAATGAGAGCCCTAGAGAACTTAACAGGGAGGCTTTTATTGTGTTCACTCAGTTGCTTGCCAAAGACTTGAAGAGCTTGCAATGTAAGGTGCTTATTAGTCATCATAGTGTCTCGCCAGCAATAGTCAAGTTAAGAATCTGTCAGTGTTTCAGTCATAAATCTCTATACCTCACCTGTGTCAAATCACATTGTGCAGAAACTTGGTGCAGATATTTATTTTTAAATAGCTTAGATTCATAGAGCTGCTTTAGTTTCATCATGAAAGAATGTAGTATGAATTGGTCTGAATGCCTTTTGCATTTCATTAGATGACTATCATGATAATGTTTTAATAAAAGATTCTAGTACTACACTTGGATATGAGACTTAATAAGCTATACTTACTTAGATTGACCCTTAAACTTACAGTAAATAAATCCTGATGACTATTTTTAGCTGAAGCAGCAGCAAGTTTACCCAGTCAGTCAGCAGAGATGCTTATGTCCTCATATGGAAAGTTTTTGATTAAAAAGTAGCAATCAAAAAGCTTTTGCTGATTTTATTTAGAATATTATAAACTTCCATTGGTGATGAAAAAGCTCAATTTTTAACAGTTTTTCAGGGGTTTTTGTACCTTTTAACAGCCCTTTATTTACTAGAAACCTCAATTATGTGAAAGAATGATTTTGCCTTCCCCAGCTTCTGTGTGTCTGCATTATTACTGCCAGGCTCTGCAATATCGATTAATCCCTGAGCCCCACTTAGCAGCTTTTTTTCAATACAGTCTCTCAACCCATCTCTTACTAGGACGAGGGTGAGGGAATTAATCTGGTCTACTTTCTATCAGTTTATAATGTAAGTCAGTTTATTTTCTTAAGTCTTTCCACCTCATCCACAGAAACAGTTTAAAATTTTGAAGGATAAGATTTTGTATTTGCTGTTGAAGGATGGAAGTTCTAATACTGGTAATGATTTATAGGCTGACCAGCTTTCTCTGGAAGCTGCTGGGTTAGAAAATACTTACCTTTGTAACGAAGTTCTACAATTAGCATTACTTGTCTCCTTTCTCAGTGCAAGTTTAGCACCTTTGACTTGCATAAGACTGTAGAGAGTAATCCATGTACCTTCAAGTAGTAGATGGTATACTGTGAAGAGGTGCTATACAGAAAGAAGTTTTTGTAGTAATTTGGATTCCGTTCTCACAAATAATGTTCCCTTGGGCTGGTCTGCAGTACTCTCCACATTCGTCAGATTTCTTCAGATTCCTTTAGAAACAATAACTCAGTCTTTACGAGTAGATAGTAAATAAGAAAAATTTATTTCCTTGTCATTTGCCTGTGTGTTTTAATTCTTTAAATATTTTAACAAAATGTGGAAACAATACATGGATATTACTTACAAATATCTTAGGTTAATGGAGCCAGTGTTCAATTCCACTGAAGTACAAGGCAGGAATAAAAATAGATATCTTTAATAGAAGTGCTTTAGGAGCCAGTGCTATTAAAGTGTGTAGCAGTGCATGAGTCATTACCTATCCCTAGAGAAGCCAGGTTTATCGTACATATGCAGAGGATTAGGCACATCTAGTTCCCTCTACGGAGATTCCTTTTCTTCATTTCAGTAGAAAATATTTGTGATTGTCAAATCAATGACTGTCAAAAATCTTTTTACCTAAGCCAACAAAAATGAGTATGTAAACCAGAAGAATGCAATATACGTCCTAACATCTGCTGCTTATGCTCTTGATCCTTATCTGAACTCTTGTAGAATTCATTTTCTATCCTTTTTACCAAATTAGAAAAGGAAATCTCTTATGGTAAAACTAAGAAGAGGTAGTGGCTTCCACAAAGCATTTTTTGATTGCTTCTGCTGATTTGATGCAGCGCACTTTTTCAGGACAGCTTTGAATGAATCTGGATGTTACAGATGTATCAGTATGTCTGTTAAATTCATGATTGTCTTTGTAATTGTCTTATGTTCCAACAGGAATTTCCACAGATGAAAATGGATCTACATCAGTTACCAATCAACCTGTCCATCAGAAGGAGAATACGCCATCTTTACTTGTCACAAGCAATTCTGATCAATTTCTGACAACTCCTGATGGAGAAGAAAAAGATATAAGCCAAGACAGTTCAGAATTAAAACACAGGTCTTCAAAGAAAGACTTGTTGGAGATAGACAGGTTTACTATTTGTGGAAACAGAATTGACTAAGGTGGTTGTTTTGTTCTGGTTTTTTTTTTGTTTGTTTGTTTTTTTTAATCAATGTGCTAAGGATACTGAGCTGTTGGGACAGCAGATGCTACCAGAATGGACAGTTGCCAAAAAAGGCACATAAATATTTATTTAAAAACTTAAATTATTAATGGCAAAAAATATTAATTTCTTTCTACAAGTAACTTGGCTTGGTATCTGGTCAGGTCAAGTAAGTGATCTTTAACTTGCCTCTTGGAAAATGTGGTGGATCGTGAGTCTCTAGCCTGATGGCAGAGCTGCAGTATCACTTTTCTGGAAGATAGATTGGAAAAAAAGCATAATCCTGTTCTGCATTATGAAACCATGCTTCCAGAAGATACTACTTTTCGTGAAGGTTCCTCCAGTGTAAGGATATTCCTGGAAATGTATGACAACTTGACCGGAAGCTTGCCTTTCCAGTTACCTGTTTTATTAAACATCTGCAAGCAGAATTCAAAACTTGTGCTTATATCAACAAACGCATAAAGCATTGGTACATAAACCAGTAAGTCAAGATAGTTATTCTTGTCAACAAAAATCTTTTCAAGATGTATCTTGAAAATCTTGTAATCGGAATAAAATTTTGCCTTTAAATGAAAGACTTACTGCATACTATTTTATCTAGATGCTAAACACCAAGGAAAGATCACAGTAATGAAGGTTCTGCTTAACTGGGCAAATATGAAGCATAATCATTTCTTGTGTTGTGTGTCCTGCAAGGCAAATTATTTATAAAATTCTTTTTAAAAGCTGAGGATTTTCTGTTGCTGTAGGAAGAAATAATAATGGGGCACTTCCCTATGCTGAGGAAAGGCAGTGTTAATCGCAGCACGCAACTGTTGTATTGGTACTGTATGTATGGCATTAATGCAGCAGAAAGGAATATTACACTGCATTTTGGGTTTAAGTGTGATAAGAATGACATCTGTGTATTAACTTGCCTGAGGACATGCCTATAAAAGCTCATCCTGACAATCAAATCAGAATTATCCATTTTAATTGGTTGGTTTTAGCCAAACTTAAGTAGATGGACTAGATCTATAAAGAGCATTTTAGCATTACAATGCATCTTAATTTTCAGTGTGACGTGCAGTTGTGGGAGAATTGATGAAAGATGGTTTGGAATCCTGAGACCAGGAATGGAATAAATTTGAGCTCAAAACTTACGTGGGAGACTTGTATCAGAAGACGTCCTTTAGTTAATGATAATTTATTCATATATTATTGTTAAAAGACAGCATTAACTTCAAAAGCCTTTCAGATATTTAAGTAAGCACCAGTTTTACTTTCCAAGGGAAGGTGTCAAAAAAGTACTTCAGTGCTGAACAGATGAAGACAAAATTTGCTCTTTGCTGATTTCATAATTTGTCAGAGCAGGAAAGCCAAAAATTGATTTCTTTTATGAACATGTGAAAGTCTAAAGTCTACGCTTATGCCTGAAACTTGCAGGACTACAGTAATAGAGCAAATGGAGACAGTTGGACAGAGTTATCGCGTATCTCAGCAGCCTTGGTAATGAGACAGCTTTGCCATACAGGTTAGCGTGGTCTGCTCTGGTGGGAATTTCTTGCTGCAGTCTTTCAGCCTCTCCTCTCCCATCAAGAGTAGCTGGAGTAACGGCCAAAATCTGTGGTTACTGTTCAGGGATGAGAGTAAAAAGAAGAGGACTTGTGCTGGGGAGAAGTCTGAAATTCTTTGATTTTTGATGTATTTTATACTAATTGGAGATGTTCACACATTGAAATTCAGATTATCTGTCAATTTGCTGTATCTTTTTTTTGAATTATTTAGCAGATGCTAAAGGAAGCTTGGAATTGCTTTCTTTTTTTCTGTTTAATGACATTCTGTATCAATTTTATAAGTGCATCTTGTGTGAAACTCAATAAAATTCAATTTTGTAATATTTGTTTAAAAAAGGAAAAGTACAGCGTCAACATTTCTTTCATAGTATTCAGAGTTGGTGAACTTGCAATGTATTTACTGTATTAAATTCCAGTTTCCATAAAGTAAGATTCTTGCAAATGTGGGACATGAATGTGCATAAGGACTGGGTTATCAATGGCGTTACTTCTGATTTATTTCTGTGGCAGTTGGTTATTGCCACTTGTAGGAAGAAGTAGGTTGGCATCAACACCTATTAATTTGTTTTTTAAAGGCAAAACCCATGTAAATGAAAAAATATTACGTCTTAAGGGAGTTCTAATTTATGTAGTCAGTTGCTACAGTTGGACTAGTTACACCTACACAGCAAAGCCAACTGTAACTGCAGTATAAGCTTAGGCAAATCCTTTCCTGAGCGCATGACAGTAACAGTGAAAGGGTCGTGGCCAGCTGCTCTTAAGTCCAAGTCCTGGCCCGGATCCTCGTCTTGAGGCTGGGAGCCTTTGTTGCTTTGTTTTTACACTTGAATTGTGATAACTAGATGTAAAGCAGTACAGCTGGGCTTTGGGATATGGCTGTTGCAGCTCTGTTTGTTGTGCAGGTGTAACTTTGTTGACTTACAGATCAAAATAATTCCAAGGTATACTTGAGGCATTGCAAATGCAACACTTCTGTTAAACACTCTGAAAGTCTGGTACGGGCCCAACTGGGCATGAAATGTCATGGTTTTCTCTTGCTCCGACCTCTCGAATTGTTCTCTTGTTCTTGTTTGTGATTAATAGGGATTCCTTGAATATCTAGCAGTGCATCTTTAATGAAAGGTCACAGCTGCTTCTCTGACCCCGGATGGTCCTCTCAGAACTCTAGAGGCGGCTGGAGTGGCGCGGGGAACAAACCACAGAACAAAAAAAAAAAACCCAGCAAGACCAAATTTCTCATCTATAGATGCAGTTCTTTATTTCTTTAGGTTTTCTTGAAAAGCTCTTGTCTTAACAGTGAAAGAAATAAGAGCATCAGAGGTTAAGCAGTAAATAAATTGAGTTCTTTAATTAATAAATCCCTCCAAAACCAAAATCTAGACAGTTTGGATGCAAGCAGTGATATTTCAATGGAAGTCACAGTTGCCAAATGAATTCCAAAAGCGCACACTGAGTACAGTGTATTTTCATAATTAGTATTATTCATTATGGGAGCATTAAGGAACAATCATGTTTTCCATAAGATTATTTAATTAATCTTTGGAAGCCTTTCAGATGTTCATCAGCCAAGCAGAATTTCCCCTCAGGCAAAGTAGTTTTACAATCACAAGTGCACTGTTAATTTACTTGCCTCTTAGAGTAAGGTGGTTGAAACTTTTCAACTTTGTCTTGTTTGGTTTTGTAGTTCAAAATTTTCTATATTCTAAATATTCGTTTAGAAGTCAGTTTTTGTAAGTCAGCGTAGTTCTTAAGGTCACTTGGTAAAGCCGGTGTTTGCCCGGTTGTGGCTGCTATGCCAGCTCAGCTGCTGGGCTACAATTTTGTATCTATTTGGTGGAGGCAAGCAAGGAGGAATGCAAGGTCTTTCTGTAGCCAAGGCAGCAGGAGCTGTGCTAAACTAGTCTCTTCTGGAAACAGTTCTTGAAGTATCGTGTGTGCATGTATCTCACCTTCGAGCTATGGGACCTTGTTTTCAGGTCAGTTACCGCTTGGTGCCCTTTGGCGTCCTGCAAGGCCTAGCTGTTATGAAAATGAATCTTGCACTGAGGCTTGGCACTAGCTACTGATTGGAAACAATGTCCTTAAGACAGTAGCAGAGAACCCAGCTGTTAGGCTGATCTAAAAATCTGAGTTGTCTTTAGTCACTCAAAATTACTTTGACGTTGGAGGCGAATGAATTCTGCTCCATCTGAGGCAGTGGTTTATGGTGCTTGTTCTGCCCTTCAGTGACCACAGGCTCTCTTGCCTCCATGCAGGCAGGAGTAAATTCTCTAGCTAGTTTTTGTGCTAGACCCCCGTTTCTTGAAAGCAAGGACCAAAGCCCCAGTGTGTATTTAGTAAGTGGTTCTGTACAGGAGATGTTCTGCTAATAGCATCAGAGTCCTCTTGTGCAATTGATTTACCTGCTTTGTACCTCTTAGTTCAAAATGGCAAATCGCGTGAGGTAAGTTTCAGCTTTGGATCTGAATACACGTACCGTTTCTTCTATTGTTATTTATTTAATTGATTTGACAAGTCTAGTTTCTAAAACATTAAAATTCCGGTAGTCCAAATTTTCAGTAACGTGGATTTTTGTCCCACGGGGCCTAAGGGCAGTAGGTGTGCTGAGCTCTTGATATGCTAACCAAACTGCAAACTCTAAGAAACAAAAATACAAGCTGCATAGTTTCACATAACCGCTGTAAGGAGCAAGGTAATCTCTGGTTTCTCTCTGGTGTGAGCAGCCCGTGGCAGCAGGAGGAGCACTGGGAGCAAGAGACCAGTACGCAGTACACTCAGTTGGCAGGTCTTACTGTGTACCTGTAAATTCTCCTCACAGTTTAAACACCAAGGCAATCGTGTTCTGCCTGCTGTCATTTTGGATATGTCAAATTTTCATTGGTTATTCTAGAGTTCATCCAGGCCATAATCTGCAGCTTTTTTTTTAAAGGCAATAGACTGAATAAATCTTGCCTGTAGAGGAAAATATTCTCACTGGAATTTAACTTGAGAAGTGAAGGGCTCTTGGACTATTAAAAAAATGTTAGTTGTCTTATTTTTATAGTAATTACCTTTTCTTCCTCTAAAGACAATTGCTGGCTTTGGATTTGCCATAATATTCCAAGCAGCTGTCAGCAACCTGTGGTGAATAGCGAGATGGGTATCGAATTATCAGGGTTATGATTTCATTACTGGATAACACAAGTATGAGGACACCTGGGGACCTTCAAACACAATCCTGCAGGGGCTGTAAACCAGAGCTCCCTCATCAATGAGAAACTGTGGCCTAAAAGCCACATGGAACCTGTTAATTCTGTTTAGCATATTACGGAGCATTTGAAAGTCTTTCCTAATGTCTTGAAGAGAAATTGTTCAGGGTAATGTTTTTCACAGAAAAAATAATCAGGAATTTTCTCCTTCTGCCCACTGTGGGGTAACGCTCAGCAGACTGAGGCTTCTAAAACCTCTGTCATTTATGTGGTTGCTAGTGATCTACAAATGATTGTATTTATTAAAAAAAAAAAAAAAAAGGAAGGAGGGAGGGGGCTGATGAATAACTTCAACCAGTGGAAAAACCTCTGTCATTTTTGTGGTTGCTAGTGATCAAAAAAAATTTGTATTTATTAAAAAAAAAAAAAAAAGGAAGGAGGGAGGGGGCTGATGAATAACTTCAACCAGTGGAAAAAAATAATTAAATGTTTGAAAATAGCCTCTGCAAATGTAGAACTTCATCTATGAAGTGTAATAGTAGGAATAACATGCATTTGGGTGCACATTTCCAGAGATATATTTGTGTATGTTTATGTTGTAGGGACAAAGTAAAGTCTTTTCATTGTCATTCCACGCTCCTAAACCGTGCCATTTTGTCCCTTTGCCTGTCAGCCTAGCCCCTTCCAATCAACCGAACGGTCTGTGAACGAAATTCATCTCTAGCGCTAGTTCCTGGGTGCTTTTGCTCCCCCGGCTGGATACCCGGTCTCCAAAGCATGTAACTGCCTCTGCAAAGGTAGGTGCTCAGGGCTTGGGGAAGGTCTTCCTTTGAGCAGCATTTTCTGA